GGTAAAAAACACACAACACTAGGCTGTAAATAAGTGTGTTGTCATCTGCCCACAATAAAAAAAAATAAATAAAGACATATGGGTTTTCCCTCAGGACTCTATGAAGTCAAATTTCAGCAAACCTACGCTCCTTTATTTACCTTTATAAATCTGAAAATTTATGATGGCTGTCTCTAAAGTTACTGTTTCCTACAAGGTGTTAGAAGAGTTTTTGTGTGTTTTATTTAATTGAAACTCACCTAAAGTCATCATCTTGATTTCGTTCCAAAGCTTCTTTGCCACGCAATGTTGACATCTGTTGTAACATGGAAGGCCACAGTGGGCTCGTCCTTAAGAATTTCATCTGTGTATATTCACGGAATAAAGCCTCTTGATCACTAAAGTTTTGAATACCTGCCAAAATCCAAGTACGACAATATAAAACCCAAACCAAAGGGAGTCATAGAGGACAGACTTCTGTGAAAAAAAAAAACCAACTATAATGTAAGTCTACTTTTCAGATTCAGGATATTAACAAAGGATAAAAACCTATAAAATAGATACAGTTACTGGAAAAATGAAAGGAACCATGACATCATTTGCTTTCCTCGAGGTCAGTAAACAGAAAAATGACGCACACAGGACACATGTCACATCATAGAGTAGACACAGACCAGACAGTACACAGAAAACCACAGAGAACACACACATCAGAGAGTACTTCACAGAGCAGACACACAACATCTCAGAGTACTCAGACAACATGACAGAGTACTCACCTATCACACAGAACACACACAATAGGACAGAGTACACAAAGTACACACACATTACACAACACACACAAGAACATAAAGTACCCACAAAACATCACATAGTACTGTCAGAAGCCAGCGATCGGTCAAAACTAGTTTTGAGAAGGACTGTGGTGCTATACCAATAGAAACCGACCCTTAAGGAATGCAATGTAAGGTATATGACCATGAAAACAGACTCAAGGAATATCCAACCTGAATTCTTCTGACTGCACAGAGAATTTTGGAAGTATGTTGTGACCTTATTTTGCTCAGTTGGATGTATTTATTGGATTGCCCATAAAGGATGAAGAGAACAGAAAACAAGCCAGAATGAATCCTGAAGAAATCATGCTTGTCTTGATGACCAGAAAATTATGATTTATACAAAAAAGGGGAAATGTGGGACGCCAAATACCAACTTTAATACTAATAGTAAACCAGACGTTATGTTTGGGTAAGAGGAAGGTTGACACAAGCTGGAATTCACGCTGTACCACTAAGGCAATCCTTCAATGTTTACACTCGTAGGCATTCAGGCAATCCTTAAGAGTCTACACAGTTCTTAGTTTGTATTAACTGAATCCTTCCTTCCTGAGTTCAGCATAAGGTCAACAACAGAGAAGAATTCGACCTCTTTGGTGAAAGATTTCTCTTTGTGGTCTACTTCCCAATGGTCTTTCCTTACTGTTTACTTCCTGTTGATTCTGTACGAAACCACAGGACAAATTCTGCAAGGAACAGCTGTCTCTTCAAACACACAAATAAAAAAAAAAGGCTTTTCCTACTTCTT